TTTTCTGGAAAAGTTCTTATGGAGCTCTAGAAGTTTGGAAAATATATTCGAAAATAAATTTCCTGGCTATGGCTTTGTTCCCCTTTGCAAAAGAGTTGTAAACCATGAGTTTTATAACCTTAATGGGTTTATCTTAAGAAAAAAAAAATGCTTGATCTTTTTTTTTTCTTTTTTTATTATGTTCAGTTAACCACTGTATAGTACATCATTAGTTTTTGATGTAGTGTTCAATGATTCATTAGTTACATATTATAACACCCAGTGCTCATCACAAAATCTAGATATTTTAGGTAACACTTGGGAGATATGACCCTTATTTGAAATGGTAGGACAAAGGAGAGTTTTTGAAGAGATGATAAGAAAACATTGTTGAAAAATGTCTTTTAATATTTTTAGTGGAGAAACCTGGCAGATACCACCTTACCCAGGGTCCAGAGTTAATATCACATGTGATAATCACATTGATAACATGCCGTGATGTAATACGGTGAGATGGTAACACAGTGAGATGGGCATATTGTCTCTATGATGTCCTGCCCTCAAACCCATAAACCCAATTTAATCATGAGACAACATTAGAGAAACTCAGTTTGAGGGACAGTCTACAAAATACCTGACTGTGACCCTTCAAAAGTGCCAGCATCATACAAAACAAGCAATGACTGGGTAACTCTCTTAGGTTGGGTGCCGTAAGGAGACAATGAGAACTAAACACGATGTGGTATTTTCGATTGGATCCTATAACAGACAAGGGATATTAGTGGAAAAATTGATGAAATCTGAACTGAATCTGTGGTTTAGTATTTTTTCAAAATTAAATTCTTAGTTTTCATAAATGTACCATGGTTATATAAATGCTAATTTTAGGGATCTGGGTGCAGTTCCCTGTAAACCTAAAAATATTTCAAACAAGTTTTGGGACAGGGGTGCAGCTCATGCCTGGGTAGCTCAGGTGGTTTAGCATCCGACTCTTGGTTTCCATGGGTTGTGAGATCAAGCCCTATGTCAGGCTCTGCATTCAGTGGGGATTCTGCTTAAAGATTCTCTCCCAGTGCCCCTCCCTTAGTTCATGCTCGCATTCTCTCTCTCTCAAACAAAAAAAAATTTTTTTTAAAAAGTAAGTTGTAGTTTTGTTTCCTTTTTTAAGGTATCTTTTTGCTCTGGACAATGTACCCCTGAAAAGTTTGTCTTCTCTAGAATACTACTTCTTACCCCTTAAGCCCGAGAGACCCTCTTGTCCCAAGGAGGGGAATCCATTGAGCTTTCATAGACTTGAGACTTGGTGCAGTTGGAAGAGATGTCATGAATGGTTGAGGCAGTATTAGGCACAGCCATAGCAAGGCCGGAAAGATGTGATCTGTGGGAATGGATACTACAGCAAAAGAGCAAGCCTGAAGACTCAGAACTGAGTGGACTTTGCTTTGAGATGGATGGCCAAAGACTGTGAAAGAGCTGTTTGAGAATGATTTGGCAAAATATAACAGTTCAACACAAAGTTTTCCAAATAGGAGACAAAGTCACCTTAACCATTAAGAGGGATTATCTGCCACTCCCAAGTGATACAGAAGAAGACAGACAAATGAAAGTGAAGCTGTAGTGGTAAGCTCTCCAGCTGCAGTCAAAGATGAGGCTGAATTTAATAACTGAAAATATCTGAGGCCTTTTGCAGTTAGTATATATCTAGACATTCCTTACAGGAAATGCGACCCAGCAAGCACGAATCAGTAACCCAAATGCAGAGGAATGCAGAATGGGTAGGACCAGTGGCTGAAAAGATCATCGACCCTCAGGAAGAGACATTATTTAAATAGGCCCCCTTCCCTCACACTAACATCATGTAACTGTTGTAGTTTTATCTGAACCCAAGATTAACTGTTTAGTCACTCTTCTTGGTAAGCTGGACTCTAAAAGTTAATATTAAATTTATTGAATAGGTGAACCATCTGGTTGCAATTTTGTTTTCAGTTCCCTGTTATGCAATTGGCACCCAAATAAGAACTGTCTCCAAATGTGAGTAGGCTGAGTCAGTCGTAAACACTAAAAAAAAAAAAAAAGTTTTGTTTTGTATTGCTATTCCAAGATTAGTTAGAAGATGAAATATTTAATGGAATGGCCCTTTTTTAAATGGCACATTTCTTTACCATGATGTGTTTAACCTAGAGTAGTGGTCAGCAAACTTTTCCTGTAAAGGGCCAGATAGTAAATATTTTTGGCTTTGGGGCACCTGGTTGGCTCAGTTGGTTAGGCGTCTGCCTTCTGCTCAGGTTGTGATCCTGGAGTCCCAGGGTGGAGTCCCACAGCGGGCTCCCTGCTCAGTGGGGAGTCTGCTTCTCCCTCTACCCCTCACCCTGCTCTCTTTCATATGTGCTCTCCAACTCTCTTTCTCTCAAATAAATAAAATCTTCAAAAATATGTTTTTGGCTTTACAGCCACAAATGGTCTCTCTTGCCTATTTGTCATTGCTTTTTTTTTTTTCTTTAATCCTTTAAAAATGTGTTTCCTGTATCTTTCACCATATTTTCATACTTTGTGATAGTGGCTAAAGTTTGTAGACTGGTATTAAGCAATGATCTAAAATCAAGTTTCTGGTTGTAGATTTATTGCCAGTGACCAAAAAAAAAAAAATTGTAAACATGATTTCAATGGATTTATAAGAAAATGAATATGTAGTTGATTTCTTACTGCAGGCATTTTGGCACATTCATGGGAGATACTCTAATAAATATGAGACTTGGGTAAAACCCATCATACCCTGAAAGTTTGCTAACCAGAAATAAAGAGCCTAGTTTTAAATTTCAAGTTACTTATTCAAGACATCTTTTGTTTCTGAATAGGCTAATTATTAAAGTAGTTTCATCTTTTAATATGTAAGTTGGTGATCTGTTTTTCAAAGCTTCAGTATAATCTGTTTTCTCATTTAACCCATTAGCTACCTCCTTTTTACAGTTTTGCTGCTGTAAGTGACATTCTTGCTTTCAGTGCCTCGTTTTACAATCACGTTATCGTTTGTGCCTCTGATTTGGAGCTAAACTCTGGCTTTTCACTGTTTCTGTCCCAAGGCCATCCTTCCAGACCCCAGCTGGTGGCCTTTAGGCCATCATTGGGATCACTGTGGAACAAACATCCTAATATTCCTAATAAAAGGCTGAGTCATTGGATATCATGCTACCAGTTTCAGAGTTATACTTTGTCTCCTTCACATGGTGTTTCTAAAAAGGTAGATAGGGTCACACCTTTAAGGACTTGAGCTTTTATTTCTTCTGTTTGTATTTGTCATAATATACTGTCAAAAAATCTGTAAATCGTGCATTCAAAGCCTTTGTTCTGTTTGGCTAAACAGTGCTTCATCCTATTGGCCGGCCATTTGAGCAGCAGGGCGCCTGATGAAACCCCGTTTACTTCGTCGTCCCACCGAATCCCTCAGACTTGTCGACAGTACTTGGAAGGGTTAAGACCTTGTAAAATGTGTTTTACCAAGATCAATTTCAAGGAAAACACAGAAAATTAAGCAGCATGTGCAGTTTTTAATTAATACTGCTTAAGAATCAAAATAAAAGAATCATTTTACTCAGTAAAAAGGTGATTAGGTTTGGGGCGCCTGGGTGGCTCAGTGGGTTAAAGCCTCTGCCTTCGACTCAGGTCATGATCCCAGGGTCCTGGGATCAAGCCCCGCATCGGGCTCTCTGCTCGGCAGGGAGCCTGCTTCCTCCTCTCTCTGCCTGCCTCTCTGCCTACTTGTGATCTCTGTCTGTCAAATAAATAAATAAAATCTTTGGAAAAAAAAAAAAAAGGTGATTAGGTTTTATTAGCATTTCTTGTTTTGAATAATTAAGGCTTTTTATCTTACAGTTCTCTCTACAGATATTTGGATTCTGTAAAAATGAAACTATTTTTTTTTAAGATTTTATTTATTTATTTGACACAGAGAGAGATCACAAGTAGGCAGAGAGGCAGGCAGAGGGAGAGAGGGAAGCAGGCTCCTCGCTGAACAGAGCCCAGGTGTGGAGCTCGATCTCAGAACCCTGAGATCACAACCCAAGCCAGAGACAGAGGCTTAACCCACTGAGCCACCCAGGCACTCCTGAGACTCTATTTTTTAAACAGTGATGGTTTCTTAAGTGGAATACTTTTATTTAGTTATCACAATATTCCTGGTAGAAATTTTATTTTCTCCTAAGCAGGGTCCAGTCTGTTGTTAATATCATTGTGTCAGCTAGAAGAAAGGGAAATTTAATACAAGTGGTATAAAGAGAAAGCAGTGGCATAAGATTTCTTAAAAAGTCTCTGAAATTCAACAGTTTACTTCTTGTATCAGGAACCGAACAGAAAATTGATCTCTTTTCCTACATCTATGTCTTACGATGTATTTCAGTCTCTTAACATTTTAGAGTTTTGAGCTGTAGATAAGATCGTATAATCTGTATAATCCTTTTTTTAAAAAAATATGTGGGTATTAGCTTGTATGTGTAGATCTGGAGTCTGAGTAAGCTCATGAGTGAGGGGTGCGTGTGTTCGTTTCTCACTGACCCATTCTTCTAGAGTCTTTAGGTCAGCTGTCATGTCGGTGCTTTCCTGCTTTGTTCTGTGGAGTCAATGACTGGTGACTGACTGGCTGCTGGAAAAGACACTTGAACAGATGAATACTGGGGCCCTCCTGTCCTCGCCTTCCCCCATAGCAGCTGCATTCTGCCCTTTCTGTGGCCCTGCAAGGAAAGGAGGGAGAGAGGGTGGGGGTGTGCATGTGTGGGGGTGTGCATGTGTGCGTGTGTGTGTGTGCGGCAATCTCTGTCAGTATGCATTACAAGGTTTCTGGAGCACATGGAATGAGATCTTTCCCAAGAAATTCTGTCAAGGCCAGCACACACAGGAGATGTGTTGCTCTGCTTAGTCTTAGATCTGTGATTGTTTTTGGTTCGTGGGGTAAGAAGAAATTTAACTCATGGGACATAGCTGTGTTCCACCTCTCTATTTACCTTTTCTTTCTTTTTGAACTCTTGCAGGCAGCAGTACCTGTCCAAAGATCACTGTTGTTCCACCTTATTTGAAAAGAAGCACGACCCCACAGGTTGATCAGAATGTATCTAATGAAGAGGCTCAGGGAATAAATGGAAAAACGCCCGCGAAACACTCAGCTGCAAGTCCAAAGCCACAAGGTATGTTTTGGTGTTTGTTTTCTTTTTGTTTGTTTGTTTTTAATCGGGTTGGGTGTTTTGTTATTGATGAAGGCTACCCAGAAAAATGATAATGACAAAAAAAGGGTTTTAAGCTTTAAATGGGAGATATTGGGTGGATTTTTTTTTTTTTTAACCCAGGGAAAAAATCAGTCTCAGGCAGAGTTGGGTATAAAACACCATATACGTTTTTCTAATATGATTCTTTTCTCATTGCAGAAATTTACATGTCCCCTTAAGGGGGACATGTTATGCCTGACCTTGTGTTATGCCTGATCTAGTACTTACTATTTGCATAATAAATGTGTGACAAATGAATGACTACTGTCAGAAAGTCAGTGTGACTTGCTAAATGTCAGAGGATCTGTGAAACAGATAACTGTAAAACTGTGCTTAATATACGTAGTAAGAATGTGATTTTATACTAGTCAGGAACTAGGGCTTGAAAATGCTTCTTAATAATAGTCATCTGCAGATACTAAAATAAACGGCTCCTCCATTCAAGAATTGAGCAGTTAATAAGGGGAAAAACAACTATGATGGTGGAAATCTTTGACTGTTTTGTTCAGGGACCATTTCCTTTTAGCAATAAATTTCTGGTGAACGGGGTATTAGCTTTGAGGAGCACAAAACTGCAATTTTGATGACAGAGAGCAAGGCTTTGGAAACATTAACACAAAGCTGAGCCCTACTGTGATTTAATGTGTAGTTTCTTCCCAATAGATTTTTATTTGTACCAAATGATGAAAATTCAGCCAAGAAACAATACTAGTTATTTTCAGAATTACTACACTCTGGTAAAAATAAATTTCTATTTGATTTATGTGGTATTCACTTTTTGGTCTCTTTCTTGTTCTTTGAAAGAAAAGTTGTTACAGAGGCGCCTGAGTGGCTCAGTTGGTTAAGCAACTGCCTTCTGCTCAGGTCATCATCCCAGGACCTGGGATCGAGCCCTGTGTCGGGCTCCTTGCTCGGTGGGGAACCTGCTTCTCCCTCTGCCTGCTACTCTGCCTGCTTGTGCTCTTTCTCTCTCTGTCAAATAAATAAATAAAATTTTTTTTAAAAGTTGTTACAGAGAACACGTTATAAAAGAACAAGTGTTACTCTTTAAAGTTCTTATGTTTTTAGGATTTCTGAAAAAGTCTTAAAGGTGGTTTTTTTTTTAAGGTGTTTTAATAGAAAGGGGCTTAAAATAGAATCTGACAGATTGTGGGACATTTTTCTTTTTGTTCTCACTACTAGCTATATTTATGGTAGTATGGGGGTAAGGCTATCAAGTGAGATCAAATAATTGGTGATTCAAATGAATGACTCATTCATGAGTTCATAACCTTTTCTTTTGACCATATTCTTCCCTATGTAAATGATATGAATATGAACATAGAAATTTTTGTGATCATGATTTAAGCTATTTTATTTGCAAAATACAAAATTCCATCTTGCTTATTAGACCTGAGCTAACAAAGATCAAATGAAGTAAGAATATGAAAAACAAATGTAATTCAGTTTTATGTAATTGCCCAAATCACAAACAGGAATTTCATTATTTATAAAGCCTTTTTTGGGAAGATGTTTTACTTCTTTGTGTTTCATAGTCCATTGAGATAAATTACACCAGTGTCCTTCTGAGTTGCTATGTGCCAAAATAATCGTATTCCTTAGGGAGATAACACTTGATCTTGCTTTTGCTGTTTGGAATTATATTAAAGTCAACATACTGATACTTAAATACATTTATATTTACTGTTATGAATATGGATTAATGCATATAATTTTACAAAACTATAAGGGCTATTTCCAGGTATTAAATAAATCATTTAGAGAACATTGTACTTTTTGAAAGTACTCTCATTCATTGTTTGGTTCTTCCCTCGTTCCCCAGCTAAAATTTTAACCCCACTGTCACCTTTGACATTTCATATTTCCTCACACTTACTTAATTTTTTCTCATTTGCTATCATTTAACCCACTCTTTATGGCACTCCTCTTTCTTGGTTTCTTTCTGCCTTTGTACTGCAATCCCCCATTGCATCGCAGGCCCTCAGTAATCCTTGTCGAATGACTCCCTGATCCATTGCCATGTTTCCTCTACTTTGTTTCTACTGTTCTTTGTTTAAAACATGGAAGAATGTGTACTATATAGAGAGAAACATTCGGGAAATGAGGCTACACCTTGGTATTGTCAGATCAGCTGCCAAACAGATTGGGCACTACTTACTTATGGGCCAAATAAAAGTGTTTCCCCACCCTCTAGTGGAGAGAAGCTTGCTTTTAATTTCTCCAAACCCTTAAGAATATTTGGGTGACTGAGGCAAAGAAAGGAAGGGATTATTAATGGGGACTTCCTGTACAGATCCAGGGATTATCCCACTGACACCTTTATTCTCACTGCGTGGCAAGTCCCTTACAAATTTATGAATGGTGAGCCTAGTGAGGCTTCAAGATCCATTATGTAACTTTAAGATTCTTACTTTATTTATTTTTTAAATTTTTAAGTTTTTATTTATTGAGAGAGAGAACAGATAGTGACAGAGATAGAGAGAGCACAAGCAGGAAGGAGAGGGAGCCCAACGCGGGGCTCGATTCCCAGGACCCTGAGATCATGACCTGAGGTGAAGGTAAGCACTTAACCAATGAGCCACCCGGGTGCCCCTAATTGAAGATTCTTATTTTAGATAAGTGTTTATTATCTTATTTTAGATAAGTGTTCTCAACTGGAGATAATTTTGCAGCTCTCCTACCCCCACCCCATGGCCTGCACTTGATACTACTGTCTAGAGACTTTTTTGCTGGACACCACGTGTGGCAGTTTCTGATGGCAGCTAGTGGGGAGAGGCTGGGAATGCTGTTCAACATTGTACAGTGCACAGGCCAGCCCCCGCAAAACAAAGAATTATCTGGCCTGAAATGTCAGTAGTTTGAGAAACTCTGATCTGGATCCTCAAAAGAGCTCATAATTAAATCTTTTTTTTTTCCCTCTTGTGGAATTCTAATAATATCATAGCTACCATTTATTTTAGTGATATTTAAAAGGAGAGACAATATTGAATACCTTTATTAGTAGTGATTATGTAGTAATGTGTCTGGAACAACATTAGGTTTTTATTTTTATGTTTATTAATAAGTAAGTTATGAGGATATAGTGTACAGCTCGGTGACTATAGTTAATAATACTGTGATGTATATTTGAAAATCACTGAGTAGAGATCCTAAAAGTTCTCATCACATGAAAAAATTGTGACTGTGTGGTGGATTTAGACTTCAGTGATCATTTCACAATATATACAAATACTGAATTATATTATACACCTGTAATTCATATAATGTTGTATGTCAATTTTATCAATTAAAAAATACCAACAAGTAAGTACTTTTGAACAATTACAGTTTTAAAACAATGAAAGAGCTGAATTTTAGATTAGATAAGCTTCTATTTGAATCTAAGTAAGAGTCTGTTGCTTTTGAAATGGATTCCTTTAATAGTTAGGGCTTGTTTTGCCTCAGCCTCAGAAAATACCCTAAAGCCGTGGAAAACAATGGTTTATTCACTTCATATCAATCCTACCCTTCAAACAAATAAATTACTGAGCAACTTCCAACATAAGTCTTTCTTCTTGTTCACCACTTTCTATATCGGCCTATTTCCTGCCATGCTAGACATAAACTCAAAATAACTTCTTTAGCAATTAAAGCTAATAGTTCTTTTTCTCTCAGGAGCTTTGATCCACAGCATTCTCCATAGTTGTTTATTTTGTAGAGCCCATATATCATCTCTCATCAGTCATTAAAGCTTAATGTTTAAAAAAGTTTCATGAACTTCGAAAACCACATTATTGTTTGAATAATTTAAGTAAATGTGAGGTACTCAAACCTATTTCATTTGCTTCTAATGTAAAGCATCCTATGTGTAATGTTCCGTTTTTAAAGTATAATATGTTATAAATTTATAATGTATTAAAAATAGCCATCTATGTAGGGCACCTGGCTGGCTTAGTTGATAGAGCATGGGACTCTTGATCTCAGGGTTGTGAGTTCAAGCCCCACCTTGGGCATAGAGTTTATGTAAAAATAAGATGGCCAGCTATTGTTTTCCATAGTAAGTAAAATGAGACTAATCAAAATCCACTGGCAATCCCCAAACTTAAGCTGGCGATTCATTTTTTCATGCTCGGTAATTATCTCGGATAATTGGAAATTTTTGAATAAGTTGTTTTGTTCTATTTACAGTCTGTAAAATTGGCTGCAATAGGCCCCATTTTCCTTACAGTCAACTAGATATCTCAAAGTTAGCATGTCCACAACTGGACTACTGATTTCTCAAAAAATTTATGTGTTGTGTCAGTTAATGACAGTTCATCCTTCCAGTGGTTCAGGCCAAAGGTCTCCAGAGTCCTCCTTCGCTCCTCTCTCTTTCTCTCATACCTCACTTTATTCTATCGGGAAGCCTACTTTTAAAGCATACTGGAATCCTACCTTCTTCTAAGTTCCATTATTTCACCTGAATTTCTGCACTAGTCTCCTGACCCTGTTTCTGCCCCATTTCCACCCTCTTTCCTGACATTCTCAACAAAGCAACCAGAGAGACACAGTTGGTTAGAAGTCCTGTCATGTTACTCCTTTGCACAGAACTCCAGTGACTTCTCATTTCACATAAGTCACTCTCCTTATAGCGTGCCACCAGCTTCTGCATTGCCAAGTTACCAGACCCTCCCTCTGACCTCTGTACCTTCTCTTGCCTGCTTGCTGCTTTGGCTTCAGTCACATTGGCTTCCATTGCCTCTAGCTTGGTCTACTCTTTGGGAATACTCTTCCCAAAATAACTCGCTCAACTTCAAGTCTTCTTCAAATCTGAACTTTTCAAAGAGGCCCACTTTCAGTACCCTACTTAATATATACTGCAATCTGCCCTTCTCCCCATTTCCTATACTCCAAATCCCTTTAAACTTGTTCTTGCATTAGCCCTCCCCCTTTTTTTCTTAGCTCTCACCACCTTCTCATAAAGGTTTACTTACTAGCTTTTTTGTTTCTTATCTTTCCTTTTGTTCATTGATAAGATCAAGTACATAGAATTTAATAGTTATTCATTAAATACTGAATTAATGAAAAAGTGAAAATTTAATGAAACCCTGTAATATGTAAGAATTTCTGTAGGATATGTATTTTGTAAATGTCAAGTTCTTAATGGTTCTATTAGTTTAAATTCCCTCTCGAAATACATGAGATATCATATTGCTTGATATCCTCTCTGACTCTTGGTATTGATTTAAAATTTCTGATGGGGCTGAAGTAGAATCCTATTTAGATTTAATTTTCATTTCCCTGATTATCAGTGAGGTTGAACACTGCTTTTCCTATTTACATCCATTGGGCGGCAGGGGGAAGAAGTAGTAGCTTGAGTTTAAGACAGATTCAATGGAGATGCTGATAGAACACCTAGGAGATGTCCAGGGAGCATTTGGAAATGTTGACCTCCATAGGGTAAACGATCAGAAATGTTGAGAAAGGGGGCAGGGGAGGGGAAGACGAGAGTCTTTTTTACTCACCAGTTATGTATTTTTGACCAAATCACACATTATTTCCCTCTAAGGCAGTGTTTATGACACTGTAGCCATTCATGTATCATCTTGAAATTTGTGTCATATACATGTAATATTTGTGCTCTTTTATTTAAAATGTACATATTTACTTTATTTTCCATTTGGGTTGTCTCCCTTGATGAGATGCCTCCTCTGTGCTTCTAAAATAACAGTACCCAGTGCCCACTTTTATCAGCCTCATTAAACTGTCTCCTCACTAGACTATGAACTCCTTGATGACATTTTTTTCCTTCACGTATTCCACAGATTTGCCAAACACTGTGTATGTGGTTACTGTGAATATATTTGTGATCAAAATAAACTTGTTTCTTACCCTCACAGAACTCCAGCCTTGTGAAAGAGAAAGCTTTACATCTGTACTATACTTAATATTTTATTTCTGGTTTCTTTAATACTATTTATGACTATTTAATCATAATAATTTATTATAAGCACTTTGGAGACAAAGTACACAATGCTATGAAACAGTTTAGGTAGGCATAATTGAGATGGGAGAAGTTAGTGGAGTTATCTCTGAGAAACTGACTGACAACATATTATTTGAGTTTTCTAAGCATCTAACAGTGTCTGATATGTAGTAAATAATGTTCACTGAGTAAACTCTAGATGGATGAATTAAAACAATTTTATAACAATTTTTGTAACAATTTTTATAGAATTATAAAGAAGAACACATTCACTTCCTTTTTTGAATATTCTAATTAGGAATGTTGAAATTCTTTCTTTTTTTTCTTTTTTAAGATTTTTTTTAAAATTTATTTATTTGAGAGAGAGGCAGTGATAGAGAGAGCATGAGCGAGGAGAAGGTCAGAGGGAGAAGCGGACTCCCCATGGAGCTGGGAGCCCGATGCGGGACTCGATCCCGGTACTCCGGGATCATGACCTGAGCCGAAGGCAGTCGTCCAACCAACTGAGCCACCCAGGCGTCCCTGAAATTATTTCTAATATTAAAATTGCTTGTGTGTCTGTTGGGGGGGTGATATTGTCATAGTTTGCTATTTTGGTATAATTCTACACAGGAAATTTTTCCTTAAAATTAACAAATATCATGCTTATATAAGTCCCTTCTTTCTCAATGGATACTATATTTAACCATCTGCCCTGAGCATTTCTTGGAAAATAACACCATTTCCATAAAAAGAAGCATACCTTTTTGTAATTGGGATTTTCTTCTTGTGTTGAAAGGGAAGGCGGTGAATTAATTGTCATACCTGTAGCATATTTTTTTCTTTCTTTGTAAGAATTGATAACTCACATAGAAATGATGACATCTAGGCCAGTGAGCATCAGACAACTGTCAGCCAAGTTTATAGAAGAAATGAGAGGACTGAAAACCAGGGTAACCAGCTGAGGGAAAATGGGGCATGTAATTAGAAGGAGACATGATTCCCTACCCTTCCTTGGGAAGTCAGAACAAGGATTTAAAAAAAGAAAAACAAGGAATTTATTTGATTTGTTAGAACCAGTTGTAGAAAAATGCATACAAGTTATATAATCCTTTACCCAGAATGTTAATCTAAGAGGAAAATTATATTGGTTTTCAAAATTGAAGTTATTCCTGTACTGATGAAGCAGGCACTTATGGTGTATTTTCTCCTCTACAGAATTTCTCATCTGTTAGAGATATTCCATAGATTTTAATATTTTAGGAAATGATCTGTTAACTGAGGGAAGGACTTACTACTAAGCAAATAATTTGTGGTATAGAAATGCAAGCCAACTATTAACATAGCAGACAATAATAACAGAACTCCTATAACTCCTTATTGCTGGTTTTATAGTTGGGACAATGCTGACAGAGGAAGGAACTAGAGTCTGGGTACCAGTCATAAAATCAGATCAGCCTTTTTCCAATAGGGCAAGCACTTAACCACTCTGAACCTTCATAGACCTAAGAGGTAAATAATGCTACCTATCTCAAAGGACTGTAAAGTGAAAATTTTCATCTAAGATCAATGAGGTCAGGAGCTTTTGTTAAATGGGAAGATGCTATAGTAATTACTGTTGTTTGATATTGTTTTATTGGCTTTTAGGTCTAATTTACTAGCTCTGGATTCTATTATATTAGTGATTACTTATATTTAGAAACTCTGTTTCATAACAAGCAGTGTATCCCTAGGAATTAGTTTCAAAGTTAGTACTTTCTTTTCTCTGTTTAGATAAATAACTGCCATGTTATCTCTAATAGACGTTGGAAGTTCACAGCAATATGTAGATGGCTAGATGTTTAATGACTTAAAATTAAAAGAACCACTTGAATCTTGGAGATGGGATTTATAGAGGACACAGCAAATGTCCTAGATAGAGATCCCTTGGTTAAGATTCAGTACAAATTTGACAGACCCCTTTACAAAAATTTGATAATGCTTAAGATTTTTGCACCCAGGCCATCAGTTTCACTTGTTAGGGAATACGTATCCATGAAATACTGAATTCTTTTAATTCTTCTTCTACAGTGCCTGCAAAGCCATTGCATCTGCAGAATTCACCTTCGTCCAATATACACCAAACCCCCAGGCATAAAGCTTTATCTAGTGAGAAACCAAGGATGGAGGAAGTTAAACCTGCCTCTGCTTCTTGTGTCTCAAAAGAAAAACCCAGTAAGGTATCAGATCTCATCAGTCGCTTTGAAGGAGGCAGGTAAGAGCTAATTCACAATGGGAAGAAGAGGGGAGAAGAAAGCTGGGCTGTTTTTGTGTGTGTGTGTGTGTGTGTGTGTGTGTGTGTGTGTGTGTTTTAAGATGATAGAGTAATAGATTTTCTAAATCATAAGAATTTTATTCTACTAGTTTTGGGAGGCCTTTAGAAAGAGTAAATTTTAAAAATACTTAAACTTGCCCTAGTATGAACTGTCATTTACTACATATTCCCTGTGTGCAGCAGGGTCTCTGCCGCCACCTTTTTCATCACATTGTGTGTGGTATAGATCAGTTGATAATGCGTTCTCATTTCCTTTGTATCTGCCTATGTCACGTTGTGTTATGCCTTGGGGTCATGCCATGGGTAGCTAGATGTCTGGGTTGGGAAAGCAGGAGGTTGTCTCTCCTTGTTTCTCACTGTGCATGTTTGTGACTAATTTCTGCTGGTCTGTGCCATCTCTGTGGCCTTCTTTCTGACCCACTTTTTATTTAACATGAGTCTTCAGTATCCATTCAGCCCCCATACCCCGATCCCCACTCCCTCGTATCCTACAAGGTTTTGTGAGGAGACATTGCCAATAGCAAAATAAGTTTCGGTTTTGTATTTATTAGAAATATTTTTATATTCCTTAGTCCTAATGTTTCAAAAAAGGTAGGTAAAATATGAATTTCTCACTTAAAGATAAAAATAAACTCCCATAAGTTGTTTTTCTCCTTTATGACCTCAATTGCTTTTTCTTAGAATTCCCATAGCTGACATAAATAGAATTTTTTAAAAATTTTAATCAGAATGATTTTATCTGTCACCAGAAGTCTATATTTAATTAAACAATGTATATAAACTCCCATTCATCCTTGAAGCCAAATATTGCAGTGTAATATTTGGGAATGGTTTCCTGCTAGGTGATTACATTATTTATTTGCAGGATTTATTGTTATTTACATAGGGGATCATAGCTTGGAAATACTTCAGAAATCTTCTGAAAATTGTGACCAAGTACAAAACTGCAGTGTCCTTCATTTAAAATGAGACTATATTTAGAAACAAGTTCTTAAGAAGAAAAGTAGTTCAGAAGCCTGTCTTCATTTTCATTCCCAATCAATTGTGGGAACTTGAGTCATAAATATTTAAACTTCAACATCTCTCCCTCTAAAATAGGAATTTTAATACCTTTGCTATCTTAAATTATAGTAATCTTTACCAGAATGATTTTTTTTAAAGATTTTATTTATTTATTTGACAGAGATCACAAGTAGAGAGGCAGGCAGAGAGTGAGGGGGAAGCAGGCTCTCCATTGAGCAGAGACCCCGATGCAGGACTCGATCCCAGGACCCTGAGACCATGATCCGAGCCAAAGGCAGAGGCTTTAACCCACTGAGCCAACCAGGCGCCCTACCAGAATGATTTAATTCCACTTTAAATTTTCTTTTCCCCCCTCAGGGCAACTTGATTCAATAGCGAAGAGTCACCTTTCATATTTGCAGTTCTCAGGGCCATGTCCAATGACTGCATAATATCTGGGAGACTGGAGCCCTAAGCCTTATCTATAGTGCATACCAGATTTAGGGGCAGGTGTGGGAAGCCCTTAATAGGTCAGTATTGAAAAGGTTGAGCCTTCTGGTTCTCACCATTTTGGTAACCCACTGTTTGCATTCCTCTCCATACACAAAATGTACACAGTTTTTCTGCCTATTAGTACCAGTTTTCTTTTACTCTTTCAGACCTCACAGATTCAAAGTCATTTTTTGATGCAGAGTTTGAAGGTTGTATTTAAGGAGTGGTGTGGTGTAACCTAGACATTTTAAGCAAACTTATTCTAAGTGCAGATAAGATGTAATGTGAGTATTTTGGCAAATCTGGTGAAGGAGGGTGTTACTTGTAGCAGTCTACTGCCAATATGAAAAATGATTATATGCTCTTAATGAGGCATTACTGGTAGGAACTGACCCTAAAAGTGTGTGAATGGGTTAGTGTTGCACTGAGTCTCTAGGACTTGAATGGGAAGTTGTATTTCCTGTTGAGTGATGTCTGAATGCCTATGGTATGTGTAGCTTTCAGGTTTTACCCCAGTTGTTACAGTTTAAAGTAGCATTTTGGGGAATAGGAATTCAGCAGACCGAATTACTGCCATAAACTGACAGGAAGAGTGGGGTCATAGGTTACCAACTATTAGACAATACTATGTATCAGACTATATATCAGAATTTTGCTCTTTTCAGTAATGCAAGTAACACTATTAAGATGAGTGATATGGAGCACCTGAATTTTATTTATTTACTTATTTATGTATGTAAGTATTACTGCGGTCCCACGCTTCCTTTCTTCCTCTCTTCCTTCCTTCCTTTCTCCCTCTTTCTTTCTTTCTTCCTTCCTTCCTTTCTTTCTTTCTTTCCTAGTGTAAGAGAAACTAGCCTTTTTAATCCATGAAAGATTTCAAGATTTTAGAAAGAAATAACATCTTGCACAAAACTGAACACTGGTTTTTCCTGAGGACACTTCAAGGCCATCTGTTTTCCCCTTGGTCTGGGATCCACAAAACAGCAGGAATATATGTATAGGTTCAACCACTTTATCTCTACCCCACCTCAGTGTTCATGTCCCCTGGAAATCACTTATTACAGGAAATTCCTACCTTTCTTTTTTTTCTTTTTCTTTTTTTTTTTTTTTTCCAGATTTTATATGTCAGAGAGAGAGCACAAGCAGGGGGGAGTGGCAGGTAGAGGGAAAAGCAGGCTTCCCACCGAGCAAGGAGCCCAAAGCAGGACTTGATCCCAGGACCTGCGATCATGACCTGAGCCGAAGGCAGCCACCCTAACTGACTGAACCACCCAGGCGTCCCAAATTCCTACCTTTCATCCAAAACAGTCCTTTCCAAAAATCCTAAGCAAGCCTAAAGTTGGTTCAGAGGATCTGCTGAGGAACTTTCTGCTGGGTCTCTGGACCCTGATGTGGGCAAGGAGAGGAAGACCATGCCATTCAAATCACCAAGTACTGCTTGAGAAGTCATCTAGGCCAAGGGGTGTACTCCCCTAGAAGGCACACATTAACGGTGGAGTATGTGACACTTACTTACCTTGACAACCACCAACTTTTACATATATGGCATTTTTCCTGCCAGATTTTTCCTTCCCTTCCTGTGGTGCTGAGCTTACCATGTCTTTTATTAACATTCTTGCCATCTGTGGCATCTCTGTTCCATTCTCCATTCCAGATCAGCAGTGTCTGGGAGGAGCAGAATGTGAAGGGAGAAGGTAACACACATCTGAGTACTGTCCATGAACTGTGCTGCTGTGTCCTCTAGCCTGTGACGTCTCCCTGCACTGGGGAAGGTCTGGCCTGGACTTTCTCCCCACATTCTGTGCGCAGGCTACTCACCTGTCCCTTGTTCACTCCTGCATGTTCTCGTGTATTACAAGGTGGGGTTAAGACCATGGATTTAGAGTCAGACTTCGGGGTCAGGCTCTAGCTGTATCATTTCTTAGCCATGTGACATCACCTTATTATGCAAGTTTCTAAGCTTCAATTTCTCTATTTTGGGGTCTGTTTTACAATTATTATGAGATTGAAGCAAATAATGTAAAGAATACCATGCATTTTCTGGCACTTAATAAATGCTATCTGCTGTTGTTGAATGACTGCCACGATCACCATTACAGTTACTATTGCCAATTATTGATCCCTGACCACTTTCCAGATGCCTAGCACTGTGCTACGAAGTGGAAGAAAGCAGAGAACAAGATAGGCGTGCTCTGCGCCCTCACAGAGTGTTAGTCTGTATTCGTCTTGTCTCCTTATTAGGTCATAGGAATCTCTCCAAGATTGCAGCCCAGAGATTTATGTTTTTCCTCCCCCCGGAATCCTAGATTAAAATGTTATGCAAACATTTACATAGGGACATTGTAATATATTGGCAGTTAGGTTCTATTGTACTATTAGGGTTATATATATAATATCAAGTAATAACAAGAGCTTTAAGAAAAACTAAACGAGATGTGTAGTTTATGGCAGAGTACACTTACAATAGATAGAATAATCCAAGAAAGCCTCTTTGAGGTGAACATGTGAGCAGAATCCTGCATAATGGGAAGGAGTCAGCCACCCCGATGTCTTGGTGAAGGTCATCCTGGGCAGAGAGGAGAGCAGCTGCAGAGACCCTTAGATGCACACATTGGCTTGTTGGGAGTGTGGGAACAGCACTGAGACAGGACTGGCAAGAGATGGTGAGTGAGGACAAATAGAACTGAATGGGGCTAGGGCAAGTGGGGGCTCATGTGTACAGACTCCTAGGCCAGGGGCAGGAGGCCAGATTTACCTCCTAAGTGTACAGGGTGCCCTGGGAGAGTTTGACCTCTGCGGCTGACCTGGAGAAACTGGGTTTGACAGGATGGAGACTGGAGGCAGAGAGGTCAGTTAGGTTATGGCAGCAGGGCTAACAACATTTCTGAGACTGTGTTCTGCTTTGTAAACAGAAGGAACTTATGGTTTCTAACCTGCTCCTAAATTGGGATCTGAAGGTAACTTGTTTTTAATATGTACAAAAGTAAAAATCTTGGCAAAAGATGGCTTTCACTATAAATACTTCTCACATTTCAGTCCTTACTGATGTGCCGTATTGACAAACAACGCAAGGAAATGTTCCAGACCCTATTGCAAATGTTTGGTCTTCCCATCTTTACTTGGATGTTTACTTAAGTGTGTGTAGCATCCCAAGAGACTGTGAACTATGCCCGACTATTCCAATTCATGTTTCTAAAACCATCAGAGGAAAAGTCTTCACTAAATATCTCCTTTCCATTGGAATAAACTGGTCTGTCTTCTAGAAACTTTCCATGCCAGTGTTCACATGCTCCTCTTGTATTTTATCTTTCAGCACATTATCAAATTACAGTGATTTGAAGAAAGATTCTGGTGTGAACCTGAATGTTCCTAGGACCCCAGGAAGGCACGGACTGACAACCACCCCTCAGCAAAATCTCCTCTCCCAGCACCCACCACCGAAGCCGGAAAATGACACCGATCCAACTCAGGGTGTACAGACTGGTGTGGCTAATGGTGTGATAGCTGCACAAAACCAGATAGAATGGGAGGAGGATAAAGCGGCCACTCTTAGCCCAGAAACTCCAGTTCAAGCTCTGGAACCCTTGCTTGCTGTGAGCCTAGTGAACGGAGAAGGAGAGGAGGAAGCGACCACAGGCCCTGCATCCCCTACAGCAAAGGACGATGACGGAAATGCTGCTGACAGTAGCTGCAGGACTCCCAGGGTCAGCCAGGTGCTCCCCCTGGAAGAAGGAAGGGCAGACACGGAAGCCCAGGTGCAAGAGCGGGAAGATGGAGAAAGCCCTCTGGAATCGGACCAGCTAGACCCTCACCCTGAGATGAAGGTAACGCATGGGACCGGGTCGTAAGTAGAGGAAGCACCAACTGCTCCACTGGTTTTAAAACCCTACTCACTAGCACCCGTGAGATGAATGAGTCAGATCACCTGCACCACCAGTTAAACAGTTTTTAAGCATTAGCTGCTAATGAATGTTACCCCTACTTTATGAGGAGATATTTCGCTTTTTCTGGTGTCGTTTCTGTTGATCTTTCTATTATGCTTTCAAGAGTCAGAACATTCGGAAGACATCAATATAGGAAAACCACAAGCTTGTTATTTTTTTTTTAAAGATTTTATTTATTGATTTGAGAGAGAGACAGTGAGAGAGAGCATGAGCAAGGAGAAGGTCAGAGAGAGAAGCAGACTCCCTGCAGAGCCGGGAGCCCGATGCGGGACTCGATCTCGGGACTCCAGGATCATGACCTGAGCCGAAGGCAGTCGTCCAACCAACTGAGCCACCCAGGCGTCCCAAGCTTGTTATTTTACTTAGAGAAGAAGAAAATGTTCTTTGTTGCTCTAGATGTAAGGGCTAGATCCCTAATATTTATGGACTAAGCAAGAGGAAATGGTGTAATTTTCACTTTTCACATATTTCTAGTCTAGACCTGGAAGAGTAACTTGCACTAGCACATGTTTCATTTAAGGACACAAATATGGGAGTGCTCACAATTTATTCAACAGATTGTAACCATAACTCTTTCCAGGCTCCTAATTGTTTTTGTCATTTTTAAAAAAAATTTTAATTAGTATAGTTTTAAAACAGTCGACTTAATCTTGGATTTAGAAGCCTCTTTAAAGATCATCTTAGGAGTCACCTGAGCAGCTCAGTCAGTTAAGCGTCTGTGTTTGGCTCAGGTCATAGTCCCAGGGTCCTGGGATCAAGCCCTGTATTGGGAATTGTTGCTCAGCAGGAAGCCTGCTTCTCCTTCTCCCACTCCCCCTGCTTATGTTCCCTCTCTCTCTGTGTCTCTCTGTCAAATAAATAAAATCTTAAAAAAAAAAAAAAAAAAAAAAATATATATATATCTCATCTTAGTTAAGCAATTCATTTATAGAAGTAAGGACAGTTCCAAAAAGCCGAAGTGATTTTTCAGGTCACAAAAGCCTGGACCCTTGTACCCTGACTGACAGGCCAATATTTGATACAAAAATATCACAAACTTAAGTGCCTAAATGCAGGAAGTATCAACGAATACAGCATCCACGAATAATGTATTAGAGAGAGGGGAAGCTCTGGCAAACTAGAAGTTTCGATCCTTTCCAAAGAGGGCTGCAATTCAGTGAAACTGATTCAATGGCATATCTGTCCGTGTGTGGAATCTAAGCTTAATAGCTGATTTGCTGGTGAGATACATTCCTAATTCACCTGGGCTACAGAGAAACTTTGATACAATTCTAGGAAAAAGACCATTGCATTTGTACTCTTTATTTATGTCAATAAGATGCTTTGGAAGAATTAATAAATACAACTTTTACAAAATACCTGGAATTTCTCAGATCAAAGGTGCAATATAAGCATCATCATACAGTTCACTGGAAGACAAAGTTTTTTATGTGTCTGAGGACCAAAAACAAAAAAAACACACACACATACAAAAAAGTTCCCATTCCTCAGTTTCTCTTTTTAATTATAAATAACAGTCTGTGTAGGAGAGTTGAGAATTGAAAATTTGGCAATTATAGGAAAATCTGTCAATGACAAATCCAAGTTCTAAATTTATTTAGGATTTTTTATGGTACTGTGCCTTAAGTGGCATTAACAAAGGGAAAAATTCAAAAGGACTGGTACTAAAATATCAGAGTAAAAAGCAATTGATGTATTTACAACTTGAACTAAAATGAAATCCATGTTAGGGGACAGCTTTTACTAAACCTGAAAAAGGTCCCAAGTAGACAAAAAGACAGGGATTTATTTTCTTCCAGTTAGTGAATAAATTTTAAGTGCTGACTGTCAGGCAGGGAAAGTTTAAATAAGGAAGTGGGTGGAAGAAAAGTGAGTCATACTTGGTAACGTTATCTGAAACATTAAAGAGACAGAGCCCTGCAAAGTGAATCTCTTCACTACATCTTGAGGTGGTGCCGCTGTGCTTGAACCATGGTGAGCAGAAGAGGAGGTTAGAATCAAGAAGCTCGAGACTCCTTTAATAGTTGGGATGATGCCACCAGCAAGTGCTTATAAAGCAGTAAGAACTATTCTTATTAATATTTTCATTGGTGATGCCTTTGGTTACTGGGTAGTACTTTTTTTCCCCTGACCTATGTTATTATCTGTACATTCTCATAGATGAGTCATATTTGGTTTGGGAGAGACTTGAATAGGGGCTTTGGTATTAAACTAGTGCAATGAAGTAGCACAGCTGGCCTTTCTCCCATATGGGAGTGAGTAGTGGACAGCACATGCTGTGTGTAGGAACAGAAGTGCCGTTCTCTCTGTAGAGCTATTGATACAAAATACCGCATGTGTCTCTCATCCGAAAGGGAGTACTGGGAGGCGCCTGGGCGGCTCAGTCTGTTAAGCTCTGCCTTCGGCTCAGGTCATGGTCCCGGGATCTTGGGATCGAGCCCCACGTTTGGCTCCCTGCTCGATGGGAAGTCTGCTTCTCCCTCTCCTGCCTGCAGCCCCCCTGCTTATGTACTCTCCCTCCCGCCCTCTCCCTCCCTCTCTCTCTCTCTGTCAAATAAAGAAATAAATCTTGTTTTAAAAAATAAAGGGAGGGTTAGGATTTAATTTCTATGTGGTGATAATATGTTCTCCTTTGTTGCTCTGGTGTCTGTTACATTGCCTTTGTTCAAATACGCAAATATAAATGTTAGTAATGTTAAGATGGTAAATTTTATGTGATATGTATATTTTGTCACCGTTAAAAAAGAAAAATGAAATGTTAAAAATAAGTTAGTCATATATAGTAGAACCATTGGAACCAGGAAGTTTGGGTGCTGCTTCTGACTCACCCACTAACTAGTGGTATGACCTTAAACAAATCAAATTACTTGTGGCTTTAGTTAAAGAATATTAACTGGGTGTGATTGTAAAGCCCTTTTCAGTGATACTGTAATAATCACTTTCTGCTGTTGTTGATGAGTATCTTCCTTTGTTAGCATAGCCAGTATTGCCAGCTGCCTCTTGAGCTGTCTAATGTATCAAATCTCTTAAGATATAAAGGAATATCTGGGTTTCACTATGCAGGCAACTGAAAGAAATTACTTCGGTCTTTATATAACTCAAGGTAGAGACATTACAATAGTCTTAGCTAAATTTAAGCCAGTATTAAATGTAATGGCTGTTTCTTAAATGCCTGCCAAGAATGGGAGAAGGAGGGATTGGGGGATGAAGGGGTAGGAGCAGAGTAGAATTGCAAAGATTGTCCAGAAAAGCAGATACACACTATACTAGATCTTGAATAGTCATTATTAATAATGAGAACTGACTTGAAAATTGTCTCAGCTTGAGTAACTTTCAGTGATATCTGATATATTATTGTAATCAAGAATCACTTCAGTGGTGAATACAAAATATTGTTACTTTTACTATATAAAAGGTAATACCTACCTCATTGAAACTATTATTCTTACCATACTTTAGCAAAGCTACACTTTTCCAATATTTAAACTTTTTGCAGCATCAGTGATCTCGAATACAGCCAGACACCTCAAAGTAAGCAGATAGTTTTTTTAAAACCTCTGAAGTAAAGGAAAATTGTGAGCACTTTGTGACACCTTTAGCTCTTACCCATAAGGTGTTATCAGTATCTTTAAATTAAGGTGAATTGTGCGTTACAAGAGATTAAAAGACTGAAGTCTGCTAAGGGGGGAGTTGTCATTAGAAGGGAAACCTTAAAACCCCTAAGCGACAGGGGGCAGGAAACTGTCACATGTGCCTGCGTACTTGAGGGCTTCAGTACTTCAGGGGTAACAGTATTCTAATCCCTGTTTGGCATGACTGATTTGGGTTATCATAAATAGCTTAACTATATTAAGAGACTCAGGTAAATGGGTCAGGACATTTTAGAATGAATTTCATTTAAGGATGGATTTTTTTTTTTTCTCAGATTTATGTGCTTCAGTGGGTAAGCTTCATTAGAAATGCATTAGTATGGAATGCATTCATTGATTACACCATTTAATAAACACTTCTTTTTATAGTTTTCATGAGCCTTTTAATACTTTAACAGGTTGTGGTTGTAGATCTCCCTGAGACTTATTAGTGTTTCCTTCCTCTGTATTTCATATTGTAAGCCAAATATAAACCTGCAGATATGTATACTTTCTAAGACTAAAGTTGATAGAAATTACAAATCTGCTATTGGCAACATAATAGTAAGTCTAATAATAGCAGTTTTATCAAGAATATTATAGACACCTTTTATTTTATTTTTTTTTAAGAGTTTATTTTTTTATTTGACAGAGAGGGATCACAAGTAGGCAGAGAGGCAGGCAGAGAAAGAGAGGGAAGCAGGCTCCCTGCTGAGCAGAGAGCCCAATGCAGGGCTCGATCCCAGGACACTGAGCTGAAGGCAGAGGCTTAACCCACTGAGCCACCCAGACGCCCCTACAGACACCTTTTAAATTAATCCTTCATTTCACCAAAAATGAAAGAAATTATATAATAAGGTGAGGAATTGATGAAGATAGAAATTTAATACAACTGATAGAGAATTGACAACATAGAGATTTATAGAAATATTTTTTAATTACGTTTTTTTTCTATTGCCTTGTTTTTTTAATTACCATTTTACTTACATTTTGACATAAGCCTTGAGAATTTAAAACCTTTGAACATACTCAAAAGTTAAGAAGATAATCATCTTTTAAGGAAAAGAATGACAGAGAATCAAATTTAGAAGTAGTGCAAATAGAAAACCAATGCTATAATCCAGGTTAACTCACTTTCCTTTCTTTTTTCTTTTAATTTCACTTAATTGTGAACCTTAACGCTGTTGATTTTGCAGGATATAATCTAAGGTATCAGAGTTTTCTGTGAGTTAAAACATAATACTAACCTTG